TTTCTTATATTGTTAGAATATATTAACAAGAAATATAAAGATAAATAACTATTAAATATCATTCTATTTGCCTAAAACGATAGGTATGTATACTGTTTCTATTGTATATGTATTTCTTTTCTTTTTTACTCAGTAAATCAATGAACGAAAATCCACTCTCGGTTCCTTTTAAATCAGACATAGAGGAGTCGTCTTTGTAATTTCATTGCACATCGGTGCTCGGCTTTCTTGCAATATTGTTGGTTTCTGTAATTGAATCCAAACAATCCAATGTTCCCTTCTTTTTTAATGCAAACTTTTCTACTTTTTGGTTGAATTCGTTACAAATATAAGTGGAATAAAATTTTAAGTAACAAGATTTAAATTAATGAAGTGTAGATAAAAAGAAATTATTCATGTATCAAAAGCTCTTTTAGTCTATGCCAGAAAAAAATAAGTTGAAAATCGCTCATTTACTTATCTGTAACGTTTCGATAATTTCATTTAAGTTATCCAAAGTTTAATGACATGTGACTTCATGAATGCTTCTAGAAATAAATTACGAGTTTGTAGTCATACTTCAAAGTTCGTAATGAGGAGGATATTGAGGAGCAAAACTCAAAACTTTGACGCAAAGAAACACTTTCATTACATTTAATATTTCCAAATGCCAAGTCATTCAAAAGCTTGCTTTGAATTTTTTCAACTAACAAGTTTCCAAACTAAATTTCTCATTTATACTCTGTTAAAACGTTAAAAAAACTATATTTGTTATTTGAAAACCAATAAAATTATATTATATTATAAAAAAATGTTGACTAATCTATTTTTTTTTACCATTACATTGTCTTAACCAATCCAACTAAGCTCTAGGCTTGTGCTAGGATATGGTTTACGACAATAGTCGAATATTGGGAATCGAACTTTCGACCACGTCAGCGGAAATGTGTACCTTTAACCATAAGGCAATTGGCGATTTTCTATCTATTGCTTATTCATTACTTTAAACATAAATATATTTATAATATGACTACTGCATCGTATGTTCAAGAATGCCTTCAATAAATCAATATTTAATCAGCCGCAAAAGTAAATGGACGATAGCATTTATATTTCCATTGTTCCATGCAACGAACGACAATTTAATAACTCTGGCTTTTAAAATACGACTGACAGCAATTAAATTATTTTAATCCTCAATCGACTTTTGTGACGACTCATACAAAATTAATTGACTTTTTAGAATTACTCGGCAATTTCATGAGATAAATAACTGGACTCACTATTTTGCTTTTATTTTTGAAAATCAAATAAAGTAATTTATAACTCAATGAAACGTTTATGTGACTATAAATTGATAAATGAATATAAAACCTTAACCTCCTTACAGACTTAAGGCGGGTTTACACTGTCGTAAGTCATAATAACAATCTCCTTGTACGAGATTCACGCAACGATAGACATTGCGTTCTTTCTGTCGTACTGAAATACCATCTACATGCTAATATTAAAGCAAAGAGACAATAAAGTCACATTATTGCTTTAAGTATCCGTTTCCAATGATATTTGATTACCTAATGTCATATTAAAGTGGCTTAATAACTTAGATTTTTGCATAATCTTGCGGATTATATTCGTACTACGCAAGAAACTTTTATAAAGCGATTGATATAAGCAATTAATAAAAATAATTTGTACCTATGTAAGTTTTTCATAATAGAAACATTCTTATTCAATTATAAGGCAGCTAAGAGTTTTTTAACTTCGTAAACAGAGGTCATGGCCGCAACGACCGCGGCACGGCGAGGGTTAAACAAATATAGAGCGGTATAGACGAGTATAATTTGTGCCTGCTCCTAAACTAACATGCCATTAAGACTTCTGTGTGGGTTGAATTAATAACATTTGCAGCTTACAAGGAAATTTCAACGACAAAAACGTATTTCCTTTTTTAATTTTATGGCTGAATTGAAACATTATAATAAGGAACTCTATATTCTTTCTTATAGTAAGCTTCATAAAATTGGGCTATAAATGAAACATACTTTCCATTGTCATTCATTTTTGACTAGAAAATAACGCTGTTGACCTACTTCAGTTGTATCCAATTCATAACAAATGTAACAACGTCCATTCATCATAAATCAAGCAAACACTATTGTATAAATATGAGCCTATCACGTCCGAAGTTTGTTATAAGATTACATCAAACATTTCGGCAATAATTAGTCTATAACTTTGCCTTATACTAACAATACACATAAATTGCATAGTACTTACAACGAATACATTAACTAACTAATAAAGTAACTGTGAGTTTCAAAAGCCAAATTTGTTTCTCTTTCCACCATATACTAATAATGATAGTAGATTTAGCAAGGAGCGTATAGGAAAATCTGTTCAAGAAAGATAGGCTACACAACTAAAAACTTATCACTTATTATGTATGTCTTTAGGTAGCAGTTACTTCGCTATTTTAGCGAAATCAAGAAGAAGCTGATTTGTTGCCTTTGAAGACTATTCGTATTATGATATCGATGAACATATTTCTAGTGTAGTTTAGAATCCAGGGATTTGGATTTAGCATATAATTTAGGTTTTGTTGTCACGTCTATATGAATATAAATGAGCTTTGTTGTGTGGAAGGTCGGTAACAGCGCAACAAATTACAACCGCACTCGTTCCGAGCTACATATTAATATAGAAACCTTGACCTTTTAGTCGATGATTAAATGCTTCACAACATATTGACTGAAAGGTGTTACAAAAGAAAAACTATAACTAAATAAAACTCGTTTATAATATCGAAAATAACACTTTGACATATTGTGTTTATTTTTTTAGTATTGTTTATTTAGTATTTTGTAAAGAGGATTGCGGAGGTTCGTTTAGCCACGCCAAATGGAGTTCTGTAGTCTCTGTCTACACCTCTGTGCTACAGGTGTGAGTTGAGTTTGTTTGTTTTTGTTTTTAAAATCAGTAGACCTAAAAACAAATATAAGTGGCAAAGGACGATTTGTTTTTAGGGCACGTTACGATCTAATTGAGCGTAGGTAAAAAATTGTTTGCCTTTTGGGAAAAAAACATGAATATTTTTCTAAAGAATTTGAATAAGGATAAACCACAGTATTTTGATTATATTGTAGCTTGCGGGTCTTTAGTGTGAATTTTAATAATAGCATTATTAAAATATTTATAAAAATGTTAAAGCAGATCTTTTTCTGTCTTCTTCTCTGTCTATTAACTAAATAAATGCTTTATTTGTAACACATATTTACACAACTACATATGTGGGAGCCTTGGTTCGTGAACTAGGGTTAAGCCCTTTATTTCAAGAGCCACTCCACTCCATTCTCCTTATCAATAATTGGATTTTACATTTAGTGCCGAAAGAAAAAACAATTAAAATTTTTAAACATGACATTGAAAAACTAAATAAAAAAATTGTAAATTGTATAAGTCTACTTCTGCTGTTTTAAAATCTTTCTACTAATATAAAGATTACCAGATAATTATATCAGAGATCGTGTCTCAGTAGTATTGCAGGGATCTTTTATAACGCAATAACACTTCAAGACTATTAACTCGACTCCGGTCTGCGACTGTTGTTCGTTAACTACGCGTCTATATTACACTCAGCCGGACAAAATTGATATTTTGTTAATAAGTATAACAGAGTTTACTTAATTTAATTCAGAAGTTAATATACCGCTGTTAGTTCTGTAAGTGGTTTGATGTTAATTAATAATATTATATTAAACCATATTATTACGATGATACAATTCATACAAAAAATTGTGTCTCAAAAACTCACGGTAAATCACAATATTAGAAATAGTTTCGGAAAAAGAAAGTCAATTTTAGTGTCCTAAATATATTATACGCGTAGTTAAGGAGCATTAAACTGTTTTGTCATAAAATAAATTAATAATTCTGATTAAATAATTAAGATAATTTACGATAAATATCGTCGGTTTTGATTTCGTCATGAAAACGAAACGGTCTAAAAGCCGTAACAATTTTATGTTAATTGCTGCCATGAAACAGCGGACATAAACATTAAATGATCGTTATTAAATTATGATAATTGCCTTAAAATATTTAATTAAAATCAAACTTTTGTTTCATTCTGTAACGTAGTATATTCAAAGCACTGATAACATAATGGTTAAAGGAACCAACAGTAATATGGTCGTGGGTAAGAATCACGCGTTACAACTATTGCGATGATAGTTCAAGCTTCTAGATAAGTTGGAATGATGGAGACTGGTGGATTTTTTTAAAGAAAATTTCAATAACGTCCAAATATTTTAGCACAAACTATTAATAACCTATTCCTCATAAGCCTTTATTTATTTATTAAGGTTGACCTATCCGTATATTAAAGAAAATGTCAAGAAAAATTTGTTTTTGTTTTGAGAGAACCTAAAGTTAAGTATAACATCAAGTTAAGTATATCGCTTAACAAAGTCCCAGCATCGGCTGAAGGCTTTCAAGTGAGACGCAAGCGCTCAGTAATGGCCGCGGCTGAGTTACTGCGCGCTCTCACGCGACAACACAGCCTACGAATACCGCTGCTACCTAATTGCCTTTACCAGTTTACTAACGATTAAGAATGTTACAAAATTAACACATAGAACTGAAGCTATAACTAATCGAACTAAATAAAAAAAAAACAATTTAATTACAAAATATTCTCAAATATTGTGCATTATAAAGTAACAAAATATAAAATTTTAACAACAGTTAACTCTCTTTTTTGTTGCATCATGTCTATACTAGCTGCCGCCCGCAACTCCGTCTGCGCGAAATTAAAAAAAAACTCGATTATTACCTTATGTTCTTCAAAGCTATGTTCTACGTCTATGCTAAATTTTTGCATCATCCATACAACCGTTATGGAGATACGTTCTAACAAACATCCATCTATCCATCCTACAAATATTCGCAATTACAATATTAGTAAGATTAAAAATAAAGTTAAGATATCTAAAGTTCCTTTAATTGCACTAACCACATACCTCTCTCACAGAAGGCGCCCTCATAATCCTCATCCCTGCATTCACAGATGGGGCCGTTGTCAGTGCTGATGCAGACCCCGCCGTGCTGGCAGGGGTCACGGCGCTCACACGCGTCACCGCTCGCGTTGCTCACCCGAGACGACTGCACAAGGACACAATGTTCAAAACTCAACACACCTCACATAAATTATATGTTATGAATTTATCATTACAACTATAACAAAAAAAAACAAAACACTCTTCGAAACATTGAATAAAACTCTCTTGATAACACAATATTTAAAACATTGCAATAAGAGACACTAGAAGTTAGAATGAAAAAACAAAAGACTATTCTATTCGAAACATTTTTCTTAAATTTGTCATGGCGTCAATATGTGCCAGCTCTATGTATTGGTGACGCCATTTACAAATCATTAAATTGCTCTTAAACACACATCATACTGTTCAAAGATATTAGAACGTCAGTCCATGAGTTTAGATGCAATATAGTGTTGTATGTTACTCCGTGTTTGGACTTTAATAATGTTCTATAGCTGAAACTATTATGATACATTGATATAACATATGTATGAGGCATTAAAGTTATCTGACAGTGATGTATTACTACTATGAGAGACTTTAACAGTGGTAGAGCCCGCTTTAACGTCTTCGCACGAATTGGCCCGGCACGCCCGGTGAAATACCACGACCACACAGAAGACAGGCGTGAAGTGGAAGCAATTCCGGGTTTCGTCTGATAAATGTGCGTCCCGGAGGCCTAATTTAGTCCTCTTTCTCTTCCCACCCTTTTACTTGTCAGGAAACGATGGAAAATGGAAGTGGACTTTCCGGATGAGAGGATACATAGAAAGGGAAAATATTTTCTTTCTGTGCATCCTCTCCTCCATCGATTCAAGATAGGCAACGCATATACAATTGCGTATGTCTATGGGTAACGGTCACATCGCTATTTCAGCGATTTCAGGTTGCCGCTCGCTCGTTTGCCTCCTAATGATATAAAAAAACTATGAGAGAACACAAGAGAAATTATTCCCAAATGTTTTCCAAATCAAAACGCACATATTTATCATAAATTTAACCGTTTCAGTGTATACGTATAAACGTCTTGCCCCCAAAGTTTAAAGTAAACATACGACAACTTTATATAAATTTTCTTAGGCAGTTAAATCTTTAAGCTGGGTTAAGTAAGACAAAGTTTCAGATATCAAACTTGAAACTTTGTAACTATAACTACGAAGATTTAATTATAATTAAGTTTAATAAGAAACCATATTAATTACGGAATGTTAAATTAATAAAATTTCACTAAGATATTTTTTTAAGTATTTTGGTAAAGTTAAAGTTTAAAATTAAGTTCCAATATTAACTAAATAACTACAGCTAATACTCTAGTATGATTATCTGATGGCGGCATCGACTAGTTCTGGGGTCATCGGTGACACTTCTTCAGGGTGAGTGGGTACTGGCTGTACATGCGCTCGCGTGACGTCACACTATGTGACGTGATCCTAGACGCATCGGACTCTAGTGACGTCACCAGATAATCGTACGTGACTGGTAACCGATCTCCCAAAAGATTAAACAATTGAATTAAGATCCAGTTCTCAATTGTAGTTATTTTAATATGATGAAATACATTATGAGATTAAAACTAAATTTCTAAAGGCGATTGAAGCATCTTTGCTTTTTTATTCTAAGAAAATGTTCTTAAAGGTCGTATTGAAAGGAGAAACTTTACGTCAATTCCGGTAAAGTTGGCGTCTTGTATAAAGGTTTAGCGTGACCGACTTGCACCTAAATTACTCTCTTTCGTACCCTCACCGAAGTTCCCTCAACGCAACGGGAACTAACTTAAAGCAAGTTATTACTTAAGTTAGCATTGATTCTAATAAGTGAGAATTTTATAGTTGTCTTTGCTACCTACGAAATTAAACAGTGTCAATGATTTTATAAAATTATAGGTTTTAAAATATAAGATAAAATATCTTTGTTCTATCTTCTAAATGTCAGGAAAACACATTTTTATCACGTTGTAAAAAAAGGACAAAGGATAATTTTTTATAAAGTCTGATTTTATAAACAGCACAAAAAGTGTCTATTTTCCCTTTAACTGTAAATTTCAATTTCATTTTTGATAAAAAATTATTTTAAGCTGGAAAATTGATACAAGCATTATTTTCGTACAGATGGCGCTACTGTCGAATATAAACAAGATGCCAAAATTTTTGAAATTTCATCCGGCAATTGTTTACGACTGAACAATGGAGGTTTGTGCAATGAATTTCAGTTTCGCTCGTAAAATTCATTGCATTATGAGTACAGCTTTTTTTGCAAGTAATAGCTTTTTCCACAGTTAAGTACGTTGTTACAGGAATATATTGCCCAGTGAAAAGTAACGCAGTGTTTTGAAATAACTTCGATATTTATAATACTAATTTTGTTGAGTGTTATACTTGTTTATACATTTAATACTAATAAATATATGATATGTGTTCTTAGAACAACATATTTTTAATAATCATGAGTCTTCACTGCCAAAATACCTGTTTAAAAACATTATTTTAAGTTACATATTATTTTAAGTTTTCGCGATAAAAAATTCAGGTATGTTTCAGTACAAGTGTTTCGCGACTGAAAATTAAGAAATTCTTAAATGGCGTTAAAACTAACGTTACTATGGTTACGATAAATAAAATCATTTGGAACGGAAAGTAAAAAGGTTAACGACCTTATCGCGATGAAGTCTGTAGGGGGAAGAGTGCGGAGAGCGGGGGTGAGTCGAAGATAATGTGTGAATATCAGCAATAAAGTTGGAGCTCAAGTTAAGTTGGACGGCGACCCTCTTTACAGTTCAAGACACGCGTCAAACATTAGCTAGATAAATTCAGATCGGTTATTGGATAACCGTAAATGAGATTAATCCTTTAGGAATCGTAAATTACATTTTAAAAACGTTTAATATTATAATGTATCATATTATATTTTATCTAGTTATCTTTTGTTATTTAGGTATTTAAAAATAACAGTGGTAGAGCCCGCTTTAACATCTTCGCACGAATTGGCCCGGCTCGACCGGTGAAATACCACGACCACACAAAAGACAGGCGTGAAGTGGAAGCAATTCCGCGTTTCGTCTGGTGAGTGTGCGTCCCGGAGGCCTAATTTAGTCCTCTTTCCCTTCCCACCTTTTTTCTTATAAGGAAAGGATGGGAAGTGAAAGTGGACTTTCCGGATGAAAGGATGCATGGAAAGGGAATAAATTCTCTTTCCTCTCCTCCGTCGATTAAAGGTAGGCAACGCATATGCGGTTGCGTATGTCTATGGGTAACGGTCACTTCGCTATATCAGCGATTTCAGGTGGCCGCTCGCTCGTTTGCCACCTTATGATATAAAAAAAAAACATTTGAAGTCAGAGCAAGCGGAGCCTATAAGTATAACTTTTGTTTAATGTTACTTTCATGTTTGTTTACTTCTTATTTATTTTAACTTTAACTAACTTAGTCTTCAGGTAATTTACAGAGTACCATAATTGACGTGCTGAAATTACTCTCGCAAATCACATCGACTATCTTTCCTTTATTAAAACCATTGCATTTTAAAATTTATGGCATTAAATTACACTCTAAAGCTTATATAACTTTACATACTGATTTATATGATTTAAAAATGTTACCGCATGAATCGAGTTAAAAACATACAAGAAATCCATTTTAAATTACAAAACATATTTCATGAGCGTTTCATAATAATAAAATTTAAAATTCACATCCGCCTGAGGGATGACGCATCTGACGTCGAATATAATAGCAAACAGTACACGCCACGTGAGCACGCGACTCTACCTGTTCATATAAAATGCAAAGTACATTGTAAACTAAACCAACTGCAGGTAAAAATAAATAAATAAAACAAGAGAAAAGAATTATTGTTCTCGGCCTCGATTTTTCATGCAACATTTTAATTAAATATTTGATTTATAATTTTAATTTAATATTTTGTTGTGTAAACTTAAAACTTGCATGTTTTTCCATGTTATATCAAAAACATTTAAAACAAAATATATATTGGTTCCTTATCTTTTATGGCAGAAAAATTTGAGCGAGTGGTTCACTTAATATCATGACGTTTTACTTATAAAAACATAATTATAAAGTCAGACATTTGTAACGTAAAATCTTTAACAAAAATTATAAATGAGTTGTGAGTTTTTTATAATATTTAAATTGTTACTTTAACCAACAGTAGAGTTAAGTTCTCAACTTAATTCATGCAATATTGTTTCAATTATAACTTGTTGCAACTTGAAACAACGCCGCAGCTGCGAGCGACTTGCCGCTAATTAAGTTCTTGTCCGCTCGCTACACTAACCATTGCTTTGATCTAAAGCACTAACTTAACACTAATAATGCAACAGTATAAACTCACTGTCTAACTTATGATTCTAACTTACACAGACTTAACTTATTGTTTGTTAAGATAACAAAGTTTAAGCATATACTTTTCTGTTAATTCTGAATCATTAAACAACGTTAAATCTCCTACTCTATGGCTAAGATTATCACTTATTCCTTTTTTTACATTATTTATAATAGTTCTAACCGGCTACATATAATAGCTTATTACTAGAAATATTAAGGTTATTCTGCGAAAGGGCATAGAACGGCAATGAAAAATGTACATTCAAAATCGTAAACAATTTAATAGACATTTCATCTTCTTTTTTAGAAATTATCTTCAGAACGGCTCAATATATCTCGCTGCAAGTTCGAATATATATAACATAGTCTGGAAGAACACACAGGCAACTAGTTTTTTTTTTTTAATAACGTCTGGATGGAGTCAGGCGACAGCTAGTCCTTTATAAATTGTCGTATTAACCTTCTTACATCATAAATTTACACAACACTTATGCAAATTAGAAAACACCGCAATACGATTGCATCGAGTCATTTTTATTTTGTGTAGGCAAAAAAAATTATATGTTAGAAATTGCTTTATAATCGAGCATTTCCATTACATTCAGATCGATATCGGCATGCAATTTTGTATATGAAATAACACGCTAGTGTTTTTACACGCAAACATAACGTGTAATATCCAATTAATTAGATGGTTACAGTACAACCAAATCTCAAAGAC